TCGCTGCAGAAGCGTGCAAAACTGACCTCGACAACAACAGCAGCAACACCCAACAAGGACTCCCCACGCAAGACCAGCAACATCATCACCACCACAAACAACTTGTCCATGTCGGCCACGGTGGCTAATGCGCCCACCACTGCTGCCACTATGGCGACTGCCAACGGTGATGCAACTTCCAGCACGCCTGCCACCAGTGCAGCACGCCGCGTCCGCAATCGTGCAGCCCGCGAGCGCAACGGCAAGGGAAAGACTGCAGCTGCAAAAATAGCGGCGGCAGCAGCAGCAGCAGCAGCAATAGCAACAGCAGCAACGAGGCCGGAGAGTGAAACCCGAGCAGCGCCGCAAACAGGTGCACCAGGTCGCGGTGGTCGTAGGGAAGGAGACGCAACAACACAGCTTGCAACCGCCATCCTACAGCGGCGGCACATGCGACGCAGCGGTGGCAACGAACCAAAATCGGCAACGAAACAGCTCTCTGCCAGCGTGGAGGCGCTTGTGGCGCTGTCACGCAGGAGTCATCGCGCCCAAACGGATTCGCAGGAAGAAGAGGCGGAGAAGGTGACGCATGCTGTTGCGGTGACGGCAGCAAGCATGAACCAGGTTGTGATGGGTGGCGAGCAAACATCGCCCATCCTGGGCACCTCGTCCCACCTTCTCCTCACAGCAGCAACAGCGCGCCAGCGGCACCAGCAGCAGGAGCAGCAGGAGCAGGAGCAAAGGAAGAAGGAGAGGAAGAATAAGAAGGCCAACACCAGGGATGACCAAGACGAAGAAGGAGAAGCAGCGTCGTCAGCAACCGCAACATCAGCAGCACCAACAAGAACCAAGGCCACGACCGCTGTTACCTCATCGAAGCAGCACAGAGGAAAGCGGGGCAAGAGGCAAGTGCTGCACTTGGGTGCACAGCCGCTCGGAGCAAGGACAAAGACACAGGAGCCCGTCGGCGGACAGACCAACGTAGAGGAAACAACGAAGGGACCTGATGCTGCACGTGCCACCAGCAACAACGAAAGCAACAACGTGGATGAGGGTGGAGAGAAGCAGCAGCAGACAGAGGAACAGCAGACGAAGGAGGAGAAGGAGAACAGCGCCGAGGCTGTTGTCGAGGTGATTGAGATTGTGAGCGAGGATGCGCAGACACAGCAAAGGGAGCATGAGCATGACGCCAGTAACAGCACGAGCGAAGCAGCGGAAACAGCAACGCCAGATGCGAAGTACTCTGAGCAAGGCAATCAATCGGCTGCCAAGGGCGCTGGTCGTGCTGCTAGGGATGATGATGAGGATGATGACAACGAGGAAGGAGATGACAACGAGGATGATGAGGATGGGGATGAGGGCGAGATGCCGGTTGGACAGTTCTACCTGCCGCCAACACAGGACAATCCCGCAAAGAAGGCAAAGGTGGCCGACAGCACGAAGGAAAGCAGGACACAGGCGGCACCGGCAAACAGCAACAAGGCAGCAGCAGAGGACGAGCAAGCAGACACCCAAGCTGCTGCTGACGAGGATGGCGATGATGATGAGGGTGAGAATGAGGATGAGAACGAGGATGACAGCAGCGAGGTGAGCGAAAAGAGCATACACATATCACTGTCACAACAAGAGGTAGCATGCACGCCGCTTGCATCTCACCAGAGCAGCGAGCGGGTTGAGGTGAGCGGCGTCCCAGCGACGGACGAGCGCGGCCAAGCAGTTGAGCGCAACGATGATGATGATGATGATGATGATGATGATGATGATGATGATGATGATGATGATGATGATGATGATGATGATGATGATGATGATGATGATGATGATGATGATGATGATGATGATGATGATGAACAGCAACCACAGCAACCACAGCAACCACAGCAACCACAGCAACCACGGCAGCCACGGCAACGACGGCGGCAACGACAGGACGAAGAGCCAGGTGGCGATGAGCAAACAGCAGTGTCCCATGAAGAGGCTGTTGACAAGAACAGCAACCGCAGCGTAGACACGAGCGGGCATCAGGACGACACCGACGGCGGTGGCGATGCTGATGGGCTTGACACACAACTTGCACACAACGTCCTCGTGCCAGACACGCCAGTGAGCGACGATGGGGGTGATGACAACAGCAGCGGTGGTACTGGCAGCAGCACAAGTGCTTCCCGAAATGCAGATGGCGGTGAGGATACTGCTGGCGGTGCCGTTAGGGAGGCGACAGCACAAGATGCGGCGCGTGCCACTAGACCTGGCGCCACCGATGGCGTCATCACGGGTCCGCACGGTGCAGAGGAGCGCACCGGCCACAACACCACTGCCACAGACGAGGCTGACACATCCAGCGCATCTGCCAACAACGATGACAGCAACAGCAACACCGGTGCTGCCGTGCGCGAGCAGGAGGTGAAGAGCAAGCCTGGATTCCTGAGCAAGCTTGCGGCACATGTGATGTCGACGGTGGCGCGAAGAATGAACACGGCGGGCGGTGGAGAAAGTGACGATGGTGGTGATGATGACGCTGATGATGAGAGCCAGGCCTTTTTCACGCAGCAAGTGTAATTGTGGTTGTTGTGTCCACTTGCTTAGCCGCTTATTTCCGTGGGTTGCTGGTTCTTATTCATTGATTGAAGCGTGACATGACACGGTTTTTACTGTGTTGGACTTGAGAAATAGAAAAGATAAAGAACGCACGGCGTTGTAAAACCCACTTCGTTTGCTACAGCAGCTGATACGCATGCATGCAGGAGGGAGAGGGGAGGTTGTAAATAGCGAACACGTGTGTGTTTGTTTGTTTGTTTGTTTGTTTGTTTGTTTGTTTGTTTGGATGTGTGTTCGTTTGGATGTGCGTGTATGTGTGTGTGTTTTTGTTTTGGTTTGGTTTGTTGAATGTGTGTGTGTGTGCGTGATGAATGGACTGAGAGGTAGCGAGTGAAATGTGAACCAAAAAGATCAGTGAAGCGAGAGGCCCGCCTGCGGACCAACTGAAGAGCAAGGTGATGGCACATCAGGTGTTGGCGTAGTATTTTGCCTGCAAGCAAAAAACAAAGAAGCAAGATGGGTGAGACAACATACAAGCAGTGTGAGAATGGCGTTTGTGTGTGTGTGTGTGTGTGTGTGTGTGTGTGTGTGTGTGTGAATGCAGCAGCACAAGACAACAAAAGTGCACAAGACGCACAACGCACGCACACACAGACACAACGCACACACAGACATACACAGACACACAGACACACACGTACGCCATCGCAGTCTCAAGTACACACACATGTACACATGCACAACGCATGCACGCCGTGATTGCATGTGGATCGTACCTCATCGAAGCACTTGCGGCTGCACACCATCTTGCGCACGGGTATGCCGGCAAGGCCGCGGTCAAGATGAACGCCGCTCCGCGCAGGAATAAACTGCACTGCCTCCAAATACACCGACACAAACCACCTGCAATGATAGCAGTACACGTACAGGGTTCGGAGTGGATGTGAAACGGGGATGAGCGAACACGAAAGGGTGTGCGTGTTCGTTTGTTGGAGGGGGAACAGATGTAGTGTGTCACACATGTCAAGACGATTGTGTGTGTGTGGGGGGGGGGGGTTAGGTGCATGATTAAAAGCAAAAAAAGCTTGAGAAACCACAGGAGGCACTCCGACAGAAAGAGACAGAGAGGCAAAGCAAAAGATCAAAGACCCGTACATGCACACACATGCACACACATTCACGTCAACAAACATATCTCACACATGACACACATCACACGCTCCACCCACAATGCACACACACCCTCCGCAGACGGAGCAGACGTCGCCGCAAAGTAGGAAGTCTTTGCATTTGTCGTTGATATTTAGAGCGCCCACACCCGCCACAAACGCTTTTCGGAAGGACTCGCGCGACACTTTGCCGCGAGCAGGCATGGCCGTGCTTGCGTGGTGTCCTGGCCGTTGTTGCTGCTGTTGCTGCATCTTGTCACCACCGCCTTGCATAATGGGGTCTGATATGCTTGCAAGCACGCGCCGTGCGACGAGCTCCTGCAGCGGCAGGACGTGTCCCATTTCCGGAATGTGGCCCCGCGATTTGGATTTGAATGGATTCTTCTCCAAGTGCAGGTGCTTGATGCGACTATGGTCAACGACCCGCCAGTCGAGCCTGCAATGTTGGTGAGTATGTGTGTGTGTGGGGGGGGGGGTAAGCGAGTAAGTGAGTCTGTGAGCGAGTGGGTCAATCGGTCAGCGAGTCAGTGTGTGTGTGTGTGTGCGTGTGTGTGTGTGTGCGTGTGCAAGAGGAGAAGCTGTGGGGAGAGACGTAAAAGAAGTATGGTCGCAAGACACACGACGAATGCGAGCGGGCTGCCATGCAGGCGGATGTGGAGCAGCAGCAGCGCCACTGACGTGCGAATGCGATTGAGGGAGACGTCGAGAACAGCGAGACGCCGGCACAGCAGAAGACAGAGCGGAATGTCCACGAGGGCATTGTCGATCAAGATGAGCTCACGCAGCATCTCAAGTTGCCCCATTGCTTCCGGCAGGGCAGTGATCTGATTCCCTTTCGCCGAACACATCCGCAGCTTGCGCAGCTTTCCGATCGAACTGGCAAAGGTGGGAGCGGGGTGTCGTTGCGGTCATGAAAAACGCACGTGTATGCGTGGAATGTGTGTGTTTCGTGTGCGCATTTGCAAGGAGTGTATTTCTCATGTGTGCATGCGTGCGCGTGTGCAACCTACGAGGGAAGTGTGGTGAGTTGGTTGAAGTCGACAGAGAGCGACTCGAGATTGGCCAGCCCGCCAATGCACTCCGGCAGTTCGGTGATAAGATTGTTGTTGAGGTTGAGCGCACGCAAGCTGAGGTGAGTTGTACAAGGCAAGGCGAGCAAGGCACCGAGATGAGCTTCATGACTATGATGGTAAGGTGGAGCAGACTGCAGGAGTATACACGCACTCCCACAGTTTGAACGATCGCAAACAAACAGAAATACACACGCGCGCACACACGCACACAGACACACGCACGCACTCGCGCAGTTGAACGCTCGTACACACAAACAGAAATACACACACGTGCGCACACGCACACAGACACACGCACGCACTCGCGCAGCTGAACGCTCGTACACACAAACAGAAATACACACACGTGCGCACACAGACACAGACACGCACACACATACACACACAAACCTGGAGAACTTTGGCTCTTGTACCGGCTGCGGGAAGACGGTTGTGATGGAGTTGTGAAAGGCCTGGAGGGTTTGCAAGTCTGGCATGTGCAGCAAAAATGAAGGCAGCGTGTGCAACTTGTTGTTGCCAACATGCAAGAGCTTGAGGTGCTTGACTTCTCCGATACAGTCCGGCAGCGACTGCAACTGGTTGTTGTTGAGATTGAGCTTTTCCAAGACGGGGCACGACGTGATGTCGTCTGGCACCCTTGTGATCTGTGCCCAAGGTGCATGGCCAAAGACGTTATTGGTGAACGCGCGCAGACGATGAGGATCAAACTCACACTTTTCAAAACCCAAGGCGCCTAGCTTCCACACACACACATACTCACTCACTCTGGTGTACACCCACAGGACACGAAACCAACAGACAGCACACATATGCATGCGTACTCGCGCACACACACACACATCACAGCGCAACGGACACATCTTCACGTGTACATTACACACGCATACGCACACACACACACGCACACACCTGTTTCGAGGCCATGTTCAGGGATCGGACGCGTTGCGGGTGCTTGAAGGCGACGGCCCACGCCCGGTACTCGCGGTCGTCCATGGGAGGTGGGCCACCCGCTTCTTCGCCTCCTGCACTGGAAGCCATTGTGGCTCGTGAAGGCGAGTGCAACGGCGCTTTGCTTGGGCTGTGGCTCACCACACGGAGGCCGCCCAAGACATCCAGGAATTCGTCGTCGTCATCGTCAAACTCCTCACCGTCTTCCTTGCCATCGTCGCCATCATCTCCCATCGCGTCTTTGCCCACCACCCGGATCATGACCGCGCGGCACCGAAAGCCCTCGAGATGCAAGCAAGACGCAATCCCTGGCCTTCTGCGTGTTGCTTGCTGCGGTATGCTGTGCGGTGGCGGGTGCTGCGTCTGGCTGGTCGTCAACCACTGAACAAGCAACGCCGCAGTCCTTTGGTGTTATTGTAGAATATTTGCTAATGGTTTGTTATGATTTTCGGCAACGGACAGACCTTCTTGTTCTTGGTAAGCTGGGTCGTTCATCGTGTGTGTGCTTGCTTGCTTGCATGATGTGTGATGTGAGGTGATGCCAGACACACACACACACACACACATACACACTGACATTGTCTGTTCAAAGCTTGTTTAAGGGGTTTTCAAAGTTGGAGCTGGCAAAGTAGCTCTGCAAGAGCTCCTCTGCTGCGCCGCCAGGGGTGATGCGCTGTTCCATCAGCCGGTGCTCCAGATCCGCAATCTTCTGGCGCGTCGGTGGATGCTGCTTGAAGTGGCGCGCAAGCTGGTCCTCCACATACCGCCACATCCACTCCTGTGCGTGTTGTGTGTGTTGTGTGTGTTGAGCGGGGAAATTGAACAAAGAGCACACACAGCAAAGGAAGACGACGAGAGGGAGATGAGGTCAAACACAAGGTATGCGCTGCGATGCTTACTCACACACACACACAGCACAAGCAGAGATTTATTCATTCCCGCACAAACACACACACACACACACACACACACACAACACACACACACACACACACACACACACACACACACACACACACACACACACACACACACGGCACCTTGTATTGGAGGCCGCGCTGGTGCTCGACGGCATCGCGACCGACGTGATCGTAAAACCTGTTGACGCCGGCCCACACGTCATCCAGGCCGCGGCCTTTCAGCGACGACACCGCAAACACCTGCAACAGCACAACCACCATCATCACGCCGTGTCCATCGCCAATGCCATGAGAGGGGCGAAAATGGGTGGCGCTCATGGTGGAGGTCAACAGCATCCAAGGGCACATGACAGCAGCAGTAACAACAACGGCAGTCGGGCAATGGAAGCGTACGTCACGCTTTGACTGTTCACATTCATACATACATCCACACACACACACACACACACACACACACATCCACACACACACACACACACACAGCACCTCTGGGTCCCATCTCTGGTGTCTGCGGCGAAGGAGCTTCAAGGCGCTCGTGTACTCAATCTGCGCCTGCCGCGCAACCGTCTCCAGCCCACCATCCGCCTGCACCCACATATATGCACGAGTGTGTGTGTGTGTGTGTGTGTGTGTGTGTGTGTGTGTGTGTGTGTGTGTGTGTGTGTGTGTGTGGGTGGGTGTGTGTGTGTGTATTGTATTGTGGGCAGAGAAGGGCACGCCAGTGCTACACAGCCGCGTATTCCTTCGAGTCATCGGCTTCACCTTGTTGATGACCAGCAGATCTGAAAGTTCCATAATCCCGCGCTTGATGCCCTGCACACACACGCACGCACACACGCACACGCACACGTGTGTGAGTAACGACGGCACACATGACAGTTGTAGAGGACGTCAAACCCCTCAACTGTAACGCCTTGTTCCAACAATTTGACCTGAGTAGTCACAACAGCAGTCACAGCAATCACAGCAGCAGCAGCAAGAAAGGCGCGGCTGTACCTGCAGCTCGTCTCCGCCGGCCGGTGGCAGAAGAAGCATGAAGAGGTCAACCATGCCTGCAACGGCCACCTCGTTCTGCCCAACACCAACCGTCTCCACGAGCACAACGTCATATCCGACACTCTCGCACAGCACAATGGCGTCGCTCGTGCTTCGCGCCACACCACCTGCAGGGTGTGTGTGTGTGTGTGTGTGTGTGTGTGTGTGTGTGTGTGTGTGTGTGTGTGTGTGTGTGTGTGTGTGTGTGTGTGTGTGTGTGTGTGTGTGTGTGTGTAAGGTGCTTGTGGACCAGGGATGCGGACGACACAGCAATCTGACTCCACCCCATGGCCGCCGTACCGAGTGCGCCGCCACTCGGAGACGGGCGAACAAAAGCGCGCGAATCCGCAGACAGCTGAGGCATCCTAGTCTTGTCGCCGAGGATGGAGCCACCGGTCAGCGACGACGTCGGGTCAATGGTCTGCACAGTGGACAGTGCATCATTGAGAGGTGTGTGTGTGTGTGAGTGCGCGTACATGTGCGTGTGTGTGTGCTTCAGTGAACGAATGGCAAGGACAGATGGGCGCGCACTCTCACGTTGGTGCAAACAGACAGACAGACAGACACACACACACACACACACACACACACAAAGTCGCACAATCACAGTCGGGCAAGTGGCGGAGCCTTGTGCAAGCACACGCTCACGCACACTCCAGAATTTCACTCAAACACGCACACACGCACACATGCACACACACGCACACACGCACACATGCACGCACGCACACTGTGTCGTCATACCAGGACTGCGAGACGCTTGCCCTGTTTCAGGAGATGTGTGCCAAATGCTTCGATGAAGGTGCTTTTCCCAACGCCTGGGGGTCCAGATATGCCAAGCCGAATGGTCTCCTTCGGGAACATGGTTGCCTCTCCATCTCGTCGCTGCTGCAGCAGTGCAGACAGCAGGCCCTGCCCTTGCTTGAACTTGTCCAAGTTGCGTGACTCCACTGCACAACAACGGGTCGAGGGCAAGCGATTAGCATCAACACACCACCACACGACGACAACAGCCAAGCAAAGAGGCCAGCAGTGACCGGCATCAGTGACAAGCACACGTACACACACATACACACACGCCGGCAGCAACAAGTGCCAACATATACCAGCACAAGCACACACACACATCCACACACGCCGGCAGCAACAAGTGCCAGCATATACAAGCACAAGTAAGCAAGTCAGTGAGTGGTATTCAGGACACAACACACTGCCACAGCGTGTCGCAACAAGCAAGTGAGGCCAACCTAGCGTGATGGCGCGAGCCAGTGCGGCCCGCTTGCCAGCGTTCAGGCCGTCCAACAGCACCCGCGTCGCCTGGCTCAGCATTGTGCTTGGTGACCAGCAGCGAGTTGTGCTTTGTATCCAGTGGTGCTGCAATTCTTTCTTCGCCCGCGCTGACTCATCAACGACAGCAACGGATATGCCCGTGAGTTTGGGATGCGTGTGTGTGTGTGTGTGTGTGTGTGTGTGTGTGTGTGTGTGTGTGTGTGTGTGTGTGTGTGTGTGTGTGTGTGTGTGTGTGTGTGTGTGTGTGTGTGCACGCACTGCTTGGTGCAGTTGGCACTGCGTGCGGGTGTTCTTCTTTCGTCTCTGCTCTGCGCCTAAACCCACCAACTGCATCATGTCACTGGCCACGACTGCAACCACACAGCGATCCGAGCCGCTGACGCGGGAGCAGTGGGAGTCGTACTTTGCTGACGATGGCAGGGTGCTCAACCAATCTGAGATCCGCAAGCGCGTGTTTGCAGGTGAGGGAGGCACTACTGTGCGCAGCACAGCCACGTCTATTGTTGTGCATCTGCCTACGTGATCACGGGTTGCGCGCTCCTGTCTCATGACAGATGCACCCACCTCATCACACACACTCTCTCTCACTTGCAACTTCAAATCCACACACATCACACATCACACACGCCTCACGCACACACACACACACACACACACACACACACACACACACACACACACACACACACACACACACACACACACACACACACACACACACAACTTTAACAATGTGCAGGTGGCATTGACCCGGAAGTGCGGAAGGAAGTGTGGTTCTTCCTGCTGGGCGTGTACCCGTTCCTCTCCACTACTAGGTCGGTGTCACAGAAGAGGCGGGCACTTGGCTCGCTGGTTGTGCCCATGACTATGCTTGGCGGCCTGTGCGCTACCCGCCCGCCGCAGACACGCCGCTTACATGCCACTGACCGCGTGTGCTGCCGTCACAGAGAACGAGAGGTGCTGATGCGCACGCGACGCATGGAATATCGTGCCATGAAGGAGCGCTGGCAGGAGGAGTTTGAGCCAGAAAAGGTGCGGCTATCGCACACTTGTGCGCATGTGTGTATGTATGTGTGTGTATGTGTGTATGTGTGTATGTATGCGTGTGTATGTGTGTATGTGTGTATGTGTATGTATGTGTGTGTATGCATCAGTGTGGGGATGTACATCAGAGCGTGCCTGTACGTCACAGTGTGCAATCTCGACGTTCTCACGGGCATTTGCACCTGCACTTCCTGCTTGTGCTGCAGCATGATGCGGGCGACTCCTTCTCCGCAGCAGACGATCTCGATCCAGAAGACCAGTTTGCCTTTATCCAGGTATGTGCGTGTGCGTATGCGTATGCGTATGCGTATGTGTGTGCGAGTTTGCTTATGGGATGATGTCCCTCGCATGGATGCTGGTGCTCATGGTATCTCACTCACATGGAACATGTCTCCTTTTGTGCTTGTGTGTGTGTGTGTGTGTGTGTGTGTGTGTGTGTGTGTGTGCGTGTGTGTGTGTGTGTGTGTGTGCGTGTGTGTGTGTGCGTGTGTGTGTGTGCGTGTGTGCAGGCGAAGATCACAGCCATGGGTCACCAGTTTGACCGGCAAAAGGCAGACAGCTCCATCGTGAGTTTGTTGCTTGTGGTCGTTCAATCCTACACCTACGAGCATCACATTCAATGCACACTTCACGCACAAGCACAAACACGTGTACAATCACACAATCACACAATCACACAATCACACAAGCACACAATCACAAACGCACACACACGCGCGCGCGCACGCAATCACTCACAAACAATCATGATCACAATCGCATACAATCGTCACAATTCCACCATCATCGTCACACCTCTGCCATCGCCATGACCAGCGCACGATCAAGAAGGACGTGCCGCGAACGGACCGGGAGACGGAATACTTCCGAGAGGATGACAACATCCATCTGCAGTGGCTCAACGACATCCTCATCACATACGCCGTCTTCCACGAGGAGGTGCGCATTGATGATGGTGGTGATGGTGGTGGTGGTGGTGGTGATGGTGGTGGTGATGGTGGTGGTGGTGGTGGTGGTGGTGGTGGTGGTGGTGGTAATGTTGAAGTGGGGCTGCCGCTTGATGTTCAATGTGTTGCTGTCTGTGTCACACCAACAGCAACGCCCCCTCCCTTCCGCACATACACATACACACACACACACACACATACACTCTGTTTGCTGGTGGCAGGTTGGATATGTGCAAGGAATGAACGACGTACTGAGCATCATCCTCCCAATCATTGATGACGAGGTGTGTGTCGTTTGGTGTCGTTGCGTGTGCTGTTATTGCGTTGGACATGTGCGAACCGCCTGTAACTGCACACACCCAAGAGTCCTCACCTTCTCCATTTCTCATCATCACCACATCGCCACCACCACCTCCATCATCACCACATCGCCACCACCACCTCCATCATCACCACATCGCCACCACCACCTCCATCATCACCACATCGCCACCACCGCCTCCATCATCACCACCATCACCGCCGCCACCAATTGTCAGGTCGAGGCGTACTGGTGCTTTGCGCAGTATCTGGAGACGATTCAGGCCGATTTCATGGCCACGGGCATGGTGCAGAACCTCAGTGAGTCCAATGCGTGCGCGGCGTGATGTGGGCTTGTGGTGGTGAATGTGCGCGCGGATGGATGACTTGTGCTTACGTTTACTCGCCACTACGCCACGTTGTGCACACGAACGTCAACTCCCACTACCACCACCACTGAATCGCAACTGTATCACAACGATTGCATCATTATCACAACGATTGCATCATAGTGTCTAATGCCACCTGTCCATCGCATCACCGCCGCCACCACCGCCAGGGACGCTGGAGGAGCTTGTTGCCATTATGGATCCAGACCTGCGGCGGCATCTCATCGATGTAGATGCGGGCGAGATGATCTACTGCCACAGGTGACGATGGTGATGATGATGATGATGATGATGATGATGATGATGATGATGATGATGATGATGATGATGATGATGATGATGATGATGATGATACGTAGGGAGGAGGGGTTGTTGTCGCCGTGAACACAAGCATGCGCTTACTGCGGCTGCTTGTGCGTGTACGTTGCTTACTCAACGCCCTACCAATGCACACATACACACACAAACTTGCGTGCACACACAGGTGGCTGCTGCTTGGCTTCAAGCGGGAGTTTGTGGCGGAGAGCAGTGAAGCTGTTTGAATCCTCTGCAGCATCACCTCGAGCTCTCAGGTGATTGTGGAAGATGTGTGACATGCGACGCATCTCAGTGCATGTTGTGTTACGTGCATTGCTTGCTCGTCTGTGGCGACACCGTGCTGTGTATTGTACAGTGTGTGTATCATCAGCGTCGCGGTATACTGGCTCGTGATCATGGCGACACCATCTATCACCACCATCGCCATCATACTCACACCACCATCATCACCGACACCATTGCTGCTGTTGCCATGATAAGCATCGAGGCTGAGCGCGAGCGGAGCAAAGAGCGCCGGACACAGCGGCAGAAACAGCTCGGAGGCACAGAACTCGCACCCCAGGAGAAGGCCGAGGAAGGTGCGCTGCCAGCTGGTCTATGCTGCTGCTGCTGTTGTTGTTGTTTGTTGTTCTTGTTCTTGTTCTTGTTGCAACCATTCCCTCAGCACCTTATTCACACACATGCGCACACACACACTCTCTCTCACACACACGCGCGCGCGTGCGCGTGTACACAATTTTATTTACCGCGTGTTTGCAGCGGCTGGGGACACATTTGAGACGAAGTACAAGTTTGAGCTGTTTGTGTGCATTGCAATTCTTGAGGAGTACCGGGACCATCTCATGGCGTGCGAAACGATGGCCGACGTCTTCCAGTTCATCAATGGGTGCGCCTCTTTCCTCTTTGTGTGTGTGTGTGTGTGTGTGTGTCTGTCTGTCTGTCGTCACACGTGTATCATGCGTGGTTGTCTTGGCTGCTGACCCACCACCCTCTGCTCCTCTGCTCACACCACCACACCACATCGCAGGCTGAGCGAGAAGATGCATCTTGACACGATTCTGCTGCGGTCGGAGGAGGCGTTTTTCCGCTACTGCCGCGAATCCGTGCACAGCACGCGCGGTGCCGACGACTACCTGCTCAAGAGCTGATGATCATCCCCCGAGGGGTGGTGGTCGTGGTGGTGGTCGTGGTGGTGGTTGGTGGTGGTGGTGGTGGTGGTGGTGACCATTTGTAGTGGTGGTTTCGTGAAGTTTGGTGTTGGGGGCCATCACTCGCTCATGATCCGTGTGCTCGCTTCAATCCAGTTCATATCACTTGTTTAATCGTCTCCCTTGTGCCTCTCACCCCTTTGTCGCTTCTTCGCACCTCCCCAAAACAAACAAACAAACAAACAAACAAACACACACACACACACACACACACTTTAAGTCTTTTGTTTCTCGGCTCAAATCATGTACACAAATGAAAAGGCATACATGGCATGGTTGTTTATTGCACCCTCAAGACAGAGGGAGACAAAGAGACAGGAAGAGGAAGAGGGGAAGAGAAACATACAGACACACACGGAAGGGGGAGCAGTGATACAGCAAGACGATGAGCAACAATGCAGTCATCACAGCACGGGCACCGCATGTGCCGTGCAGACGTCCAACGACAACACACAAACCAGCCTAGAACCAAGTTGTTTGTTGAAGAGACACAAAGATGAGAGCAAGGCGAGACAGCCAACTCAAAGAAAGAGTTCACTACGAGCAGTGTGCTGTGTAAAAATGTAACATGTAACACTGAAACAACACGACGAAACCAAAAAAGAACACTGCTCGCTCGAGAGAAAAGCAAATGCACCTTACAGGCACACTCACACATGCACAAGCAAACAAAGACTGGCACAAGAAGCTGACTGAACCTGAACGCAAGAAAAGGACACGACACGGTGTACAGCGCAAAGCGACGGCAAGTGACGAAACATCACGCTGCCCGCGTCACATCACATCACAGCACAGCACACGTGCGTGGTGCTGTGTCACAACGGCCGCAGGAGGTTCGAGAAGAAGTCAAACGCGACAATCATGATGCCGCCGCCAGGCCCCAGCCTGACGAGTCGTGGGAAGAAGCCCTTGTACAGGGCGGACAGGCCCTCCGTCGCCAAAATGCGTTTGAGAGACGAAAACACGCCCGTGTAGATGCGCTCCTGCCCAGGCAGCTGGTTCTGGAGCCTGCTCTTGACAACATCAAACGGGGTGGCAAACACAACGCCAATCATGCCGCCAACGAGGCCAGACAGAAACTTCTTCGACAACACCTTGGCTGCAGAGACGCAGGAGATGGGGGAGGTGGTGGGCGTGGATGGTATGGATGAGACAAAGAACATGAGCAGCGCAGGACACCGCAAGCACAAACACCATGCGTGATCAACACACATCCACACACACACACACACACATGTGCATACACGCACACATACACACACAAATGCACACATGCACACATTGCACATGAACACGAACGCACATACCGTGGGAGTCGTCTGGTTTGGAGGGAAACCAGTTTCGGACGGTGCCAATGGCAGCAAAGTACGTTCCATTCCACGCGGAGTTGCGGCAAATGTGGGCGAAGATGCCATTATAAACAGACAAGACACCCTCCTTTGCTACCATTTGCCGAACACAGTCCCACGTGTTCTGCACACGCAGAAAAGATGGGTTGTGTGTGTGTGTGTGTGTGTGTGTGTGTGTGTGTGTGTGTGTGTGTGTGTGTGTGTGTGTGTGTGTGTGTGTGTGTGTGGCGGTCTCACACAAATGTGTGCGATGTGTGTTTGTTGAGAGCATACCGCGTGCGCTATTACGAGAAAATCTGCACACCCCCGAGAGCAGACGAGACAAAAACGGCACATCCAGCGCACACACACACACACACACGTCACGCACGCACGTGAGATATGCCCACAGCAAGGGCCGCTCCAGATGTGCAGAGGCACGCTCACTGTATGTATGGAAGAGGATCCTCTAGCGCGCCACGGCACTTTGCTGCGATCAAAGAGGGCAGATTAC